GGAAGTCCAGGACCAAGAAGCTGCTTTATACCTCGAGGTCATCCAAAAACTCCGGTTCCTTCTATGTTGTAGCTCTGGTCCTGCAACACCTTGGTGTGTGAGTTCTGCTCCACAGAAAGAGGAACAGGGAAGGTGGTGAGCAAGCAGCTTACATTTAAGGCTGAGACCCAGAAGGTGCACACATCACCACTACTCCTGTACCATTGGCAACACCTGGAGAAGCTGGGAATGAGGTTTTTGATTGGAAGTCATGTGGCTCGTTAATATTTAGGGAGTGCTGTCAGAAGAAGAGCGAGTATCTTCATCCTTTCATTTAAGGATGAAACCTAAAGAGTTAGAAAGAGCCCAAACTTTATGTGCCTAAGCTATGTGCTAAATCTCTGCGCCTCCTTTTCTGAAAACTGAAAATGCTTTCAGGATTGTTAAAAGAATCAAATAACCCCATGAATATCAATTTGTTGCCAGGATGCCTAGCACATAGTTGAGGCTTATTTCTATATCTATACCACTCTTCCCTCTTCTTTAAAAGTTGATAGCAAGAAATTCAAGGAAAGCCACTGTTGTTGCATATAAGGCATCCCCTGTCTGGCCTCCTTGCTGGATGGGCTCCATTATCCCACTCTCTGGCCTCTTCCCCTTCATTCCTTTGTCAATATCTTACCAGAGTCCCTTTGCTAAAATACGCTCCCAAATATATCAATAACAATAAATAACTTTATTATTAATATTAGTATTAGGGCTAATCCTGCCATAACCTCCATTTTATAGATTTGGAAACTGAGACACCGGGAAGGCAAATAACTTGCCCCCGGATCACACAGAAAGTCACAAGTGGATTCAAACAGATTTGTAGGACTTCACAATCCAAGCTCTTAAATACTCACTTACATTATGTCTCCTAGTCAAACATCTCCAGACTTCTAATTACAAACAAAACAGGAATCAAACTATTTCACCTGGCATGAAGACTCTCCTCAATCTAGCTCAGATTACCTTGCCAGCCTTGTCTCCTATCTCCTTACTCAAAGGAGGAGATACTTTTCCCAGGAACCCGTCCTAGCGCCTGGTCCCCCTTTGTGCTTCTTAACTTGCCTTCATCGAATGATTTATTGTACAGAATAGTAAAAACAAGAACTGATTATTTTTCCATATACTCCATTAGACTGTGAGCTGCTTTTTTTTTAAGATTTTATTTATTTATTGGGATCACTATCCTTCTGTTTGAAGTACATCATTTAGGATTTCCTTTAGAGAGGGTCTACAGGTAACAGAGAGAGAGAGAGAGACAGGAAGAGAGGGAACACAAGGAGGCGAAGTGGGAGAGGGAGAAGCAGGACTCCCACCGAGAAGGGAGTCCGATGCGGGCTCGATCCCAGGACACTGGGATCATGACCTGAGCCGAAGGCAGACGCTTAACGACTGAGCCACCCAGGCGCCCCAGACTGTGAGCTTCTTTAAGAGCAGATCCATGCCATACACTAGATTTTCAAAGGATTCTGTGATCAGAAAAGAGTAGGAACCATTGTTAATGATGCTTTATTCCTTATTTCCTTAGGTCTGTTTTCTTTCCCTTCCCTTCCCCTTTCCCTTCCCTTCCTTTCCCCCTTCCCTTCCCTTCTTCTTTCTTCTTTCTTTCTTTCCTTGTTTCTTTCTTTTCTTTCTTTCTTTGTTTTTTCTTTCTTTTTCTTTCTTTCTTTCTTTCTTTCTTTCTTTCTTTCTTTCTTTCTTTCTTTCTTTCTTTCTTTCTCTTCTTTCTTTCTTCATCAGATAGAAATACTTTTGAACTATAAAAGCAATACAGGGGCACCTGGGTGGCTCAGCCAGTTAAGCGTCTGCCTTTGACTCAGGTCATGATCCTGGGATCAAGCCCCATATCAGGCTCCTTGCTCAGCAGGGAGCCTGCTTCTCCCTCTGCCTGCCGCTCCCCCTGCTTCTGCTCTCTCTCTCTCTGACAAATAAATAAAATCTTTAAAAAAGAAAAAAAGTAAATGAAAGAAATAAAAGCAATACAAACACATTAAGAAAACATTTAAGAATACAACTAGTGAGTGAGAGGGAGAAAATCTTGCCCCTCCTTGTGCCAACCCAGCCCCCCAAACATGCTGAGCAATTCCTCTATAGGATTTGGTATATATCTCTCCAGACTCCTGTGTAATAAAATAAAAATATTCCCATTCATAACTTTTTATTAGAGCTTCTACCTATCAGTGAGTAAAAAGTTGAACTTCCCAATTAAAAAATAGAAGACATAGACAATTTTTAAAATATAATATATATTATACACATATATTAGGGAAAAGATGTTAAACCCTAGTAACATATAGAAACGGCATGCATTTTTTTGTCTATTAGAATGATATGTGCACACACACACACACACACACACACACACACACACACTGCTCAGGGCTGGTCAGAGTTCAGAGGACCAAACCTTCTCCCCTGCTGCCCAGGAAATGAGAATTGCTACACTTTTCCTCTTTTCCTTTTCCTCTCTTTGTGTCTTTGTTCTGTGGGTTTTTGAGTTTAAGAACTTAGAAGTGGAATCTCTCCCAGTTGTCTGTCTCTTGGGTATCATGGTTCAAGCTCTTGTCTCACTAACCCTCCCTTCTAATTTTTCTTTATTCTCAACATTAATTTTGTTCCACCTTATTATGTAAGTACTTAATCCCACATTTGGAATTTTGACCATTTGTCTTAAATTTCCTGTCTCCTATTACTTTTGTCCACCTTTTATAGTTCTGTGTGAATTCTTTTCTCTTTATTTTTCTATTTTCCTTTCTGATATTAAGCCTATTTTAGCCTCCTGAATCATCGTATTTTTAACCTCTTTTGGTCTCTTGCTCTCTCATTTTTGTAGTGACTTGGGTTATTGTTGTACATTGGACAGTATGCTCTACTTTATGACGTCTTCAGATGCCTGGTGTGTCACATTTACATCCTGTAAAGTGATCGGCAGGTTGATGAGCACAGTGCATGCGAGAACTGTTAGACACCACCATAGTCAATGAGGGTGCTCTGGGAGGTCATTTGACCTATCTCTGTTTACAGTTGACTATGCTGTGAGAGTTTCGGGTCCAGTTCTTTTGGACTAGAAACGTACCTGGGCAGAGAGCTGGTAGAGCTGAAACTCTGAAAGAGTTCATTTCAGTAAATACTAGTGGAGTGCTATGTCCCTGCCAAGTACAAGATTCTAGGTTGTATATGCACATCGTCATACATTCTGAGATTCTAGGTTGTATATGCACATCGTCAGTTAGGAGTCATTTAGCTTAACCTGAGATTTTTAACCATTCAAAAAAATCCTTTCTGGGGAATATTCGAAATTAGTCAAGAAATCCTTTTTATAAAGCCCTAAGAAATTCATCCAGGCAGTCAGCAAGATGAAACAAACAAACAAACAAAAAGCTTTTGCTTGATTTTCATGGGCCCATTCCTGCCATTTCTAAGCAAATCTTGGCTCCACCCTTTCCAGCAAGATAGGACATCCTGTGCTAGAGATGAACAAAGATTGATGGAAGACTCTGGGCTAAAAGGACAAGGGAAGCATTGAGTTCAGGCTTGGGTTTTAATGTGGGAGCAGGGTGGTGGAATGAGACTGGTGTAATCCATTGCATTTGCTCTGATGAGGGTCCAAGGCCCCGAGAGTAGCAAAGGGGAGCGTGAGTGCATAGGGATTGGGAAGGAGGGGCCACAGACATGTGGAGGAAATGGAACCCTTCTGCTTGGTACCACTGCCTGCAACTAGCCACAACCCGGGTAGACGAGAGGCAGGGGTAGGATCTACTCAGAGTCATCTCTTGAATGAACAAGTCAGGAAATACCTTGATTAGTAGCCATTCACTCATCCAACCCACTTGCACATACCTGCATATTTGTGCATACTTGTGACACCCTACACACTTTTCCATTCTTCCCCTCCAACTCCCTCCCTCCCTCCCTTTTTTTCCCTCCCACTAAACTCTCAGGGCCTGGTGCCTTCTCAGGCCCATGTCATTGTCCACAACTCACACATAATGCCTGATAATTTCCCTCCACCACTCAATAGCTTTGTCACCTTGGTGACATTACTTGGGCTATTACTCAGATTCCTTTTCTGAAAGACAAGGAAAATCATTAATACCACTGGGTGGTTGTGAGCTTAAATGAAATAAACAGTGAAAGGTGCTTCACATGGCACCCAGTGTCCATGTGCCTTCCTTCAGCACATCAGCTATGTGCTCTCATCCTCTCTGTTGCCATAAGCCCAATCATTGTTGGGACTCAAGCAGCTGTGTGCCAGGTACCAGAAAACCAAGTGCCTTTCACACTGTTGCTTTTATTCTTCCTCACCAAACCCTTTGAGGGAGGAATAATTCTTTTCTTTCTGTAGCTGGGGCTCAAAAAGAAAAAAAAAAAGTGAAGCAACTTTCCCAAGAACCCACAGCTAGCGAACCGTAGAGCTAAAGTGCCCACATAGCTCCAGAACTAGAGTGCTTTTCTGCGTAACTGGCCCCAACTATGACATGAATTTTCAGTCATCTAGCACATGTTGAGGAAGGGGACATTCTTTTCTACTTCAACAGTTATGATTTGCTAAAAAGTCCATGCTTGCAACCCCAGACTTACACTAAGTATATCAGCCTTCTTTGGCTAGTCACATATTCTGAATTCTCTTCCCTCACTAGACTCTAAGATGCTTCAGAGTTGGAGACCTTGTTTGTTTTATTATAGTTACATCTTCATACCTTCTTCTTGGGAAAGTGGTGGATGCTCACTCAATTTATGTAGGTTGAATATATGAATGAATATTTATAAGGAACATCCACATCCTGTAGTGAATTCAATCCGAGTCTAGTTGAGAGAAGGGGAAAAGGAAACAGGGTAGAAAAGTTCCCATCATGCCAAGGTGCACACTGACTCTCCTCGGTACAAGATCTTCCCCAGCTACACATATATCCTCCATTCCTATACACACAGACATGTGCATATTCAACTGTGCCTATTTAACTATTTTTCAGTTTGTGAAGAAATATGGAAACATTCTGAGCATGCAGCTTGGTGACTTGCCTGTAGTTGTTATAACTGGATTGCCCTTGATCAAAGAAGTCCTTATTGACCAGAACCAAGTCTTTGTGAACCGCCCTATGACTCCTATCCGAGAACGTATCTTCAAGAACAATGGTAAGTTTCTTAACCAATGTAAGATGGCTGTTTGATATTTTATGGTCTGTTAAAGGTGCCTCTGTGACTATAATTCTCCAACACTCTCAGGGAGCAGGCCCATTATAAAATTCCTGAAATTAAAGAAAGCTGGATGCTGGATGCCCACATTTCCCTATTGAAGGCACCCCCTTAGAGAACTTGGCAGGTCCTGTCAGGGATTTGGAAGAAGCTGTGTCTCCTGCATGAACTCACTCTGGACACGCTGATGAACAAGTAACTGCATTACTCAGTGATAGCAGAGGAAGAGGCAATGCATTCTTGCTCTCTCTTTCTGCTTCGTCCTCCAATCTCTTTCCTTAGACAAATCGATGTAGATCTGCTTCCTTCTGCTGCTTATGTAAGTCCCTCTTCTTGCCTCAAGTTCCCTATGCTTTCTTTTTTTTTTTTTTAAGATTTTTTCATTTATTCATTTGAGACAGAGAGATACAGAGGGAGAGCGAGAGCATGAGCAGGGGAGAGGCAGAGGGCGAGGGAGAAGCAGGCTCCCCGCTGAGCCAGGAGCCAGACGTGGGGCTCGATCCCAGGACCCTGGGATCATGACCTGAGCCGAAGGCAGATGCTCAACCATCTGAGCCACCCAGGCGCCCCTTCCCTATGCTTTCTTGGTAGGGCTGTTCCCACAGGGTATATCAAGCCTTCCATTCTGTGTTAGAACAGTTTGGCAAGAATACCTAAAATTATCATTAAATAAATGCAAACACTACTCTATGTTGGCTAACTGAACATAATAATAAAAATAAATAATAAATAAATAAATAAATAAATAAATAAAATCTCTGTAAACACCCCCCAAAAATAAAAAAAAAAAATGTTTTTTCAGTTTCTTTATTGGTTATATAGATATAATCAAGTTTTTTCTGTTATTTCTTAGTTTTAGTAATTATTTCTTAGAAAATTCATTTTACAAATAAACAAACAAATAAATAAATAAATGTAAACATTTAAAAATCTAAATGGATAACTCAAATCTAGTACTCTACCCAAGCACCGTTTTTTCAGGTGCTTCCCAATTCCTTTTTGAAATAGTTTACCTTCCAACTCTACATCCACTCACTCCATTTATTATGTGAAGCACAGTGCTAGGCACTCTCCCCACACAACCGTGAGTAGTGCAGATAAAATCCATGTCCTTAGGTAACTTATATTCTATTCAGAAAAACAGTATCAATTAGCTCTAATAACTTAAAGCATTAGTCTTATTAAGATATGTGCAGGATGCATTTATTAGGGGGAATCTAACCTAGTCCTGGGATTCAAAGAAAGCTAATGTAAATAAATGGCAGTCAGTTTAACAAAGTGAAGAGGCAATCGGGCAGATGGAATAGAATAGGAAGAGTCCCTGAGGTGCGAAGAAGGACAATGAACTTGAGGAAGTAAAAGGTGGCCGGTGTGGCAAGTACAGGCATTAAATGGAGATAACTAAAGGAAGATAAAGCTGCTGAGCTTGGCCAAGAATTGTTCATGCAAGTTCTTGTTAAGGGTGTTGGGTTTTATGTTAATAACAATGGAAACTCTTAAATGATTTTAAGGAGAGAAAGGAATCACCACATTTACATTGTACATTTTAAAAACTTATGTAGGTTGCAGTGCAGAAGATGGTATACAGGGAACAAGAGACTATGGTAGCATTTTAGGTTAGAGAAGGTTGTAACTTAGACTAGGGAGATGGCAAGAAATGACAATAGAGTAGACTAGACCAGGTTAGTAGCAGTGAAGGTACATGAATTTAAAGTATCCAGGGGGGTAAATCCAGTAAGATATGATGACCCAAATAGAGGGAGAAGGAAAGCAGAATGAGGTACTGAGGTAGACACCCAAGTGGGTAGATGATGGAAGGAGGAATATTTGGAGGAGGACAGGTGTTTAGAGTTTGGCTTGGGTGTGGAGTTGTATGGAGAACATCATGAGTCCAATCATGGATATACTGAGTTTGAAAGGCTTTTAAGTGGGCAAAGTCAGGCAAACAGTTGTGTATATGTGTCTGGAGCTCAGGGACAGAAATAAATTGTCACTATCAATAGATGTTATTTAAAACTTTAGGAGTTGAGATTTCCCAGGAATGGGGTTTCAGGGAAGAAGAGAAGAGGCTTTATACCTTATCTTGAAGAACTCCATCATTTTAAAATTTGATAGAAGAAGATGAGCCAGCAAAAGATATGAGAGGGAGGAAAATCTGGAGGGTGTGTTGTCCTGAGCACCGCTGGAAGGGAGGGCTTCAGGAGAGAAATGCCTCGTGCTGCTGAAAGATCAAGAAAGATAAGGTTGAACAGTTTCCCTGGATTTGACAAAGATGGCCATCTCATGGAGATGGTGGAGGCCAAAGCCAGGCACTAAAAGGAGTTGGAGAGCACTCTGGAGATGAAGAAAAGAAAGGAGGGTGGCCTTATCTGTGTTGTAAAACAAATGATGAATTGTTGAACATAACAAGTTTTTTTTTTCTTTGCCTTTCCATGTGCTATTCTTTCTGCATGGAATAGTCACTCTTCCTTGCTTTCTTGAGTCATTCCTTCATCTTTCAAGGTCCAGTTTAGATAAGACTCTCCTAGAAAGCTTTGCCTCCTTTTGAGTTGTGATTTATCTTATCCATGAGTGCATTCTTAGTATGTAGCATAAAACAAGTATTTCAGTATACTTATGTGACTAGTAATCAAAGCATGGGCTTTGGAGTCCAGCAAACCTGAATTTGAATGCCTCTTCAGCTGCTGTGACCCTGAAAAGTTTATCTTTTGTGCCTCAGTTTTCTCGTCAGCAAAATGGGAGAGGGAAGTAAGGATTATACCTATCTCATAGAGTTTCTGTAAGTGCTAACTTACATAATGCAGTAAAAACACTCAAGTCCCTGCACTAAAAGCAATAATGCTAGCCAGTCTATCCACTACCTTGGGATTATTTCCCTGAATAGTTTAAAGTGGCTTAATGCCCTTCTTCTTCCCACCAATACATATTTCCATACCATTTGCCAGATATTTACATAATAGAATAAGAATACCATAATGTTGGCTTTTTTTTTTTCCAGGATTGATCATGTCCAGTGGCCAAACATGGAAGGAGCAAAGAAGGTTCACCCTGGCAACCCTAAGGAACTTTGGTCTAGGAAGGAAGAGCTTAGAGGAACGCATTCAGGAGGAAGCCCATCACCTCATCCAGGCGATAGAAGAAGAGAATGGTGAGTTGTTTCCTAGGACAGGTGCAGGAGATTGTGACTCATTCATTCACTGAACAGATACTTATTAAGTGCCTAAGGACTTAACCTGTGCCCAGCACTATGTCAGCCACTGAGAATATTACAGTGAGCAACTAACCATGACCCTGCCTTCATGGAGCTCTAGGATTAAGCACAAGAAGACTGGTATTAAACACATTACTGATTTTAAACCCTGGTCAACAATTTGACTTCCCAGGTATTGACCGAGTACTTGCTACATGTTAGACCCTGTGTAGCGGGCTATGGCCAGAGCCTCACAGGCAGTACTATACTCAGTATGGTAAATGTCATGTAGAGCAGACTCTCAGGAGAAAATAGAAACAAACTAATCTAAAGGTTCCATCTCTTGTTTCACCTCCAGGACAGCCTTTCAACCCTCACTTCAAGATGAACAATGCAGTTTCCAATATTATTTGCTCTATCACCTTTGGGAAGCGCTTTGAGTACGGGGATGAACAGTTTCAGGAATTGCTGAGGTTGCTGGATGACGTCACGTGTCTGGAGGCATCAATGAGATGCCAGGTAAGGGGTTTTCTTTCTACATCTTGGGTAAGAATATTGGAGCTGATGTCAGACACAGATGAGTTCTTACTAAAATATCACTTTTTTTTGTTTAAGCTGAAGTATCACCTTTTACAATTGACTTCAACTCAAACTTATTTAAAATCAATCTGTTGACTTTAGTGTTTTTTGATAATATTACTGGATATTTACTACATACAAAGAACATTTCTAACATGCATGTGAAGTGTAAAACTTTACATGCCATACACCTATACATCCATGTTGTTTTATCTAAAAACACGATATTGCCATTGCCTTTGAGTCCTGCTCCTCTATGTCCTTCCCTAACCCAGCCGCTCTGCTGCCCCAGAAGTACTCTTCTGTGATTGGCTTCTCCCTCGGCAGATTATTCGCAGATTTATCTGTGTCAGTTGCTCTTTTCTTTTTTAAATTCTGAATAGTATTTCATTGTATGACTATGCCACTGTTTGTTGCTCTATTCTCTATTGATGAACATTTGGGTTGTTTCCAGTTTGGGATGTTATGAATAGCTGCCATGAACATTCTTGTACAGTTGTTCATCTGTGGACATGCCCACTCATTTCTCTTGAATTTATACCTGGACATAAAAGATGCCTAAAGTTTTCAAAAGCAGTTACCCTACTTACATGCCCATCCACACTTGACATTATCAATCTTCCTATTCCACAGGGTATAGACCTTTGGGGTTCAAACTTCACCCCTTCCTTTGGTGGACCTTGCTCTCCGTTTTGTCCCACTGGGCCTGTAAGTCTGTCGGAAACTCCACTCTTCTTGGTGTCTCAACCACTTCCCTGGATTTGGAAGACACTTCTATGGGAAAAGTGGCCCTATTAGTGCCACCTCTCTAGTATCTAGAAGTGGATTTATTTTTATTTATTCCTGACAAGCATCTTTGCCTGGAACTTTATGGACCCATCGCATCAAAACCAATAAAGCAGTTAGCATGAGTCCTGGCACATTTAAAGGGTGTAATGAATGTGAGCTATTATTATTATGATTATTGTCAGAGGTATTTTTGAATTCCTTGTTCTCATCTCTAGTCACAGTAATTACCAATTCAATAATTCCATGTTCTTCAGCCCTATTAAGACAGGAAGTCAGGAGAGTTCAGTGGGTACCCAGCTGATTTTCCCCAGGGAAAAGTAATTCCTGAGAGGGTAAGAAGGGGCAGTAAGGTAAGGTTATTAAGCATTTCTTGGAGTCCCAAGCATCTCGATGGACAAATATACATTCTTTATCTCAGTTAATTTTTACCAAAAACCCCTTTAAAGATGAAATGAAGCATCATGGTGTGTACAAGCAGATATGGGAGTGTGTAAGCAAATCCAGATAGTGGTCCACTGGCTCTGTGCTAGGTGCTGTATGGATCTCATGTCATTCAGTCACCGGAATAATCCCAGAACCCCATTGGCAGCTAGTTAAACTAAGAAGCTACAAATTGTATCATCATCATCATCATCATCATCATCACCACCACCACCAAACTATTATAGCTAGAAAACAGCAGAGCTAATAGACCTGTATCTGTCTCATTTTAAGTCTAGGTGACTTTCCATTATGTCATGCTTCTTTCTACCAGATATTATTAGAGAAGATATTTTTAAAAATACTTTATTTCAGTAAAATATGTCTTACCTACATGAGGATTGCATCATAGCGGGGCAAATACATATACATAAGACATGTATATATACATCTGACACACACACAGATATTAGTGGTAATTACCATGAAGGAAAATGAAACAGGATAAGGGAATGGAGAGAGGGTGGCAGGGGTCCTTATAGGATCATCAGGTTAAGACCACACCAAGGTGGTGACATTTGAGCAGCACTTTAATGAAATGAGGGGCTGGAGTTATACAGATTTCAGAGGAAGAGCGTTCTAGGGAGAAGGAATAGCAAATGCAAAGGCCCAAAAAGGAACATCCTTGATGTCATCACAGAGGCCTGTGGGTGAGTAAGAGAGAGTAAGATGGCAGGGAGTGATAGCAATGGAGGTGATAGGTGTGTGGGGGTGGGGAGCTGGTGCATGCAGAGATTGTATGTCAGGAGAATGATGCAGAGCTTTGTCTGAGAGTCATAGAAAGTCATTGGAGGATTGAGAGCCAAGGAGTGAAATGATCTGATTAAACTATTAAATGATGCGGAAAACAGACTGGGAGTGGGTTAAAAATGGAATCAGTGAAGCTGATGGAGGCTATCACAGCCTCCAGGTAAGAAATGCTGCTGGTTTGTCCTAGGGGACAACACGGCTGGGGGGTGAGATGTGGTGTGAAACTGGATACACTTTGGATGGAGTGCTGAAATGCTTTGCTAGCAGGAGAGAAGAGTCAAGGCTATCCAAGGTTTAAGAGCAAGTAAATGAAAGATAGAGAATATCGATTATTTTGTCTTGAAAAACGGGCATCCAATTGTCTCTATGAGTGTTTTGTTTTTCCTCAATTAGCTCTACAACATCTGTCCATGGATTATGAAATTTCTTCCTGGACCTCATCAAACACTCTTTAGCAACTGGGAGAAACTGAAATTGTTCATTGCTCATATGATTGAAAACCACAGGAGAGACTGGAATCCTGCTGAACCAAGAGATTTTATTGACGCTTACCTCAGGGAAATGGAAAAGGTAAGGGAACCAAAGTTGTTTCTGTGTTTTCTTTTTTTTTTAAATCATGACCTGAGCCAAAGGCAGACGCTTTACAACTGAGCCACCCCGGTGCCCCTGTTTCTTTGTTCTTAAAGAGCAAATGGGGGTATACTAGTGTCCCATTGCTGCCGTAACAAATTACCACAAACCCGGGGTTTCCAAACAACACAGATTTATTCTCTTACAGTTCTGGAGGTCCCAAATCCGAAATCAGTTTCACTGGGCTAAAATCAAGGTGTTGGCAGGGCTGGTTCCTTCTGGAGACTCTAAGAAAGAATCTGTTTCCTTGATTTTTCCTTTAGAGGCTGCCTTGGCTTATGGCCCCTTTTTCCATCTTCAAAGCCAGTATGTAGCATTTTCTCTGCTTTGATCTTTACATCTTCTCTTTATGACCCCCTTGCCTCCCTCTTATAAGGACTCTTGTAATTACTTTGAATTATCCAGAATAATCTTCCCACATCAAGATTCTTAATCATACCTACAAAGTCCCTTTTGCCATATAAGGTGATATCCACAGGTTTCAGAGATTAAGATATGGACATCTTGGTGGGTCATTATTTAGTTTATCACAGGGGAGTCAAAATAGAGGCAGCATTTCATAGAGTATAGGAGCAGCATTAACTCAGGATTGACAAGGTAAGTAGAAATAAAGATGGGGTTGATGAGCACTGGGTGTTATATGCAATGGATAAATAACTGAACTCTACATCTGAAACTAATGATACACTAGATGTTGACTAATGGAATTTAAATAAAAAATAAGTTAAAAAAAAAAGACAAGGGTTGAATGGTATTTGGCTTGAGGCCTTGGGGATGCCCAAATACTGCCTGTTCATCTTCTGTTCTCTGCCCTTTACCCATATCTGAAGGAGCTATATACAAAAGGAAAACTAACAAATGAGCTTCAAAGGACTCTTTCATTTTTAGTTGGACCTGTGCCCAGTTGCCTGCCCCTTCCCTCAACCCCCAGCACAAAACACAAGAAGATGCTGATTTGAATGCCAGAGTTTAGGCTTAGGGGCCCGAGAGGAACTTTTGCTTTCCTCCCTGATCTTCCTACTATCCACTTTCCAACATTATGGGAAAGGTGCAGGGAAAAGCCAAATTGGTTGTATATAGCCTTTAGCACAGTACCCCTGTGGTCAATATACATCCATGCATCAGTGTCAGTGTCATAATCTTTCATCAGATTAGTTGAGCCTCCTCTTGGAATTGACAGGATGGTGGATTTCTATCCATCCCCTCTTTTATTTCACTGTATTGGATAACATTAGTAGAAGCATTGATCTCTCCACAGAGGAAGAGACTTCACTTGCTAAATGTTGTGCAGGTATGGGGCCACACATTGAGAGGACTGTTGACAAACTGAAGCTTCCAGGGGAAGGTGATAAAGATGATGGAGTGCTGTGAGGAATGGTTGATGGAATCAGAGTGGTTTCACCTAGAAAGGAAGAGATGAACAGGGAGATATGAGAATTGTTTTACATAAGAGGAATTCAGTTTATTCTTCCTGGTATCAGTACAAGCATGTGTTGAGTATTTGTAACATGCTCTTTACATCTCATGTAACTCATAATGCCATCTTAAAGGGCATGTGTATTTCATTTCTATTTTCTGAAACAGGAAACTGAGGTGCAGAGAGATTAAGTGACATGCCGTAGGTCATGCAGATAGTGAACGATGTAGCTAATACTGGAGTCCAGGCCTGTCTTTCTACCAAACTGTTTCTCTTTCCACTGTACTAATAGATTCTCCCAAATTTAGGCATAAACTAAAGAATTGTCTTTATTTTTCACCCACCAAAGCTAACAAAAGCTTCCACTACTTGGGGCAGGAGGATGCTAGTGATATCGCTGTAACAAGCCTCTACCTCTTAAGATGGCCAAAGGGAAAGATATTTTTCCTGGGGATCTTTTGTTCCAAGTTCTTGCCCTAGGATGAAGCCCCTGTGTATTGTAGCAACCAAGAACCAACTGAATAAACCAGTAAACATTGTGCTTTCTAGAATAGGGGCAATGCTACTTCAAGTTTCCATGAAGAAAACCTCATCTATAGCACCCTGGACCTCTTCTTTGCTGGAACCGAGACAACTTCAACGACACTGCGCTGGGGTCTGCTTTACTTGGCCCTCAACCCAGAAATCCAAGGTGAGCACGTCAGTGAGTGTGCCTGGGCCAGGACAGAATGGTGCCTCCTGGAGCATACTGCCCCCAAGTTGGGGCCAGAAGATAGCATGGTAGAATGAAAAGATAGGACAGTCATGAAGTGATGTGGACTTAACGGGTACCTTCTTCGGTTTTTCTGTTAGGATTCTGATGGGTTCACATCATACCAATATAACAGAGTCCCTGCCCTCAGAAACTCAGAGTCTAGAGGGGAAACAATGAAGTCAGTTGACATTGTGGTGAGTTCCAGGAAAAGACTTATATTCTTACATGAGATCTAGTTACAGCCTTCCATCCTTTTAAGTAATGTCTTTCATTGCCCTGTGGATAATGTTCAAACTCCTTAGTCTGGCATATCATGCTCTCTGATGTGCCTCCTTCTGTCTGTCCAGCCTCAGCTCCACCCATCCTGCATAGTGGTCTCACTAAATTACATGTTGTTTCCTTTGCACTGTCCTTATTTATGCCTCTGCCATCAGGCCTGCTCCTCCCTCTACCAATTGCATAGTTCCCCAATTTATCTACATGGTCAGTCTGAAGAATCTGCTCAAATACAACCTCCTCTAAGATGTACCCCCATGCTTGTAGGGAACTCCTTCCTCTAAAGATGACTTTATTATTAGGATTATTTTCCTCCTCTAGAGATGACCTAACATACCTCCACTACTGTGCTGATTGCACATTATTCGTATGTCTTCCCCAAAGACTGTTGTCCAGGGCGCCTGGGTGGCTCAGTCGTTAAGCGTCTGCCTTCGGCTCAGGTCATGATCCCAGGGTCCTGGGATCGAGTCCCACATCGGGCTCC